ACTTGCCTATATTGCTACTCTCTCACAGTCAGTTCACCACAAATGAAGCAAACTGTTTATTCAGGCAAGCAAACTTTTGAGGTCAGACAAAATTACTATCTGCAGGTAAATGAAAAGTGTAAGTATCGAATGAGATCTTCCTCCCCGTTTAAGTTTTTATTTTGAAAAGCCTAAAGAGTAAAAGCATCTGCATCAGTCCCCTCCGTAAAGGCTTCTGTACTAAGCACTTTCTTATGGTTCGTGTTCTTTGTCAGGTGTCAACTGATTTCAGGCATTGCATCTGATTACTTTGGAAATAATTACTCAAACAAAATAACAGACTTAAGGTAATAAATTACAGGAGGATATGTAGTACTTCTATAAAGAAATTAGTTATTAAGAAAAATGAAATAAAGGTAGCTGTATTTTCCACAATATTTTCTTGCTGAAAGGTCTGACATTGATTTTAACTTCTTCTGAAATGAAATAGTGAATCATTGTTTTGTAGAGCCTTTCTGGAAAAGAAACTGAAGATAGTATAGGGTACAAATCATATGAAGGAAACTAATATTTTTTCCTGTACTATATGCTCTTTAGTAGTTACAATGGGATTTTGAGTCATTGGTGGCAGAAGAGCCATTGCTCCTCGATTGAACTTTGAGTTCTAAGTGCCCTAGCATAGGTACATCTTGAGAATATCAGTGTCATGATTTTTGAGTCTGTAATGTACTGTAGCTCGAGGGCTGCAAGAACAGGGATTGAAATACTTGTGTAAACAGTTTGAGTACTATGTCTAATAACAAAGTATTCCCTTTTTTAATTGTAAAGCTCCATATAGTCAGCCAGTTACCCTGTGTACAGACTTAGATGTGAATGAAAAAAATGTTTTTGTGTCCTGCTTTTAAAACGTGAAGGTGGTGGGCAGGGGAAGGTCCTAATTTATAGTTGTCTGTAGTTTCATAGGTCCCGGCAATTGTTTTGACAGTAATCTTGGCAAAAGCAGCTGTATTGGGGGCTGGGATGATGAACTGCAAGTTCTACTTAGTCTTTTAATTTAAAAAGTGGGTAAAATAATCTTACTATTGGGGAAAAAAAAAAATCTTACGTGTGATTTCTATGCTTGTAATGTTAAATGCTGTTTCAGGTAACATTTAAGTACATAGCATAAGTAATGCCTTGAAACAGACGTGTTCTGTTCCCTTCTGAGTGTTTTTAGCTTGGTTTCTATGGCGATGAAACCTATGCAGAGTGTCAGGCCTCCTCTTCCCCTGTCTCCAAAAATAACTTCTAAATTTACCAGCCAGTATAAGCCAAAATTAAACGGGAAGGGGGAGGCTCAAAGGTAGTCAGATTCTTACTAGTTTCAAGCAAACTGGTGACTCCACAGAGGAGAATGAGTGCCCTGTGAAGACAAAACCATATAACCATCGCTGTCTACCCTGCTGGCATAGGCAAAATTTCCAGCTTGCTGGGGCAAGTTCTGCTGCAGTTGTAGGGTTTTATTGTGTTTTGTTTGTTTGTTTTTTTTTTTAATTTATTTTTTTACCTCAGTGGAGCTCCCCGAGAGGAGCTGAAGTTACTGCCTTGAGGAGAGACTAGGAGACAGGACGCTTGAATGGGAACTAACAAAAGCTGGTTTCTGTTCATGGAACAACTTGTATTTATTATTCTAGCTGTAAACATTCAAGCTGCTTAATCCACTTCTTGTGATTTTTATGATGGGGTATTCTGTAAGGAGTCTTATGATTTTTCTTTAGGTTGCTGCATTAGGATAACCTTGATGCTTTTCAGAATTTCTGAAAGGTCTGTATAGTAGAAGACAGGATGAATAGAAATGCGCGGTCCCTGAATATAAGTCCTACAAAATAAAGACCTTTTGAATGCAGTAAAGGGCATAATGGGACTCCTTTGTACGGATCTCTTAGGATGGAATTTTTCTGTTTCCTGATTGCAGTTGCTATAACAATTGAATAACTTTGTTAACTTGATCTTTTAAGGCAAGAAGTCTCATGTGCATGTTCTTCTCCCATCTTCATGTTACCTTCATCATTTGTGACTGTTATTAAATTACGGTTAATTTGGAGAAAGGTAACTTTCAAGAAGGTGTGTAGAAGACATAAAATTAATTTTCTCGGTAATGCCAAAGTGGATTTCGAGCAGTAATGTGCTCTTTGACCAATGAGCTGCTGTGGATCTCTGTGTGTCTTCAGGATAGTGACAGTACATACTGTGGCTTGGTAGGGCAAAAAAGTCGCGGTGATTGAAGTGGAGGACGGAAGGAGAGGAAGAATGGAGGTAACAGACAGAAATCCATTAACTAGCCTTTGCTTCTTCCCCTGCTTGTAGACCAGGTTGTTGTGGTGGGGCAGTCAGAACTGTACACACATCCCAGATGAGAGTGGGTGTACGAGCCATTAGTGTAAAAGGATACCAGTAATGTTGTTATTTGTCTTATTGCTAATCAAATGGTAGTTTTATTTAAAAATGGTTTTACTTTAGCTGTATCCATTGCAATACTATATTTTTCTTGTGAATGGTTGTACTTAATTTAGAACCATAACATTTATAGCTTTCAGGCTGTTTTTCTGCTCGATATTTTTAGAGTTGAGTGTTTTGTCTTCTCATTTGCTTTCTGTATCCCTAAATATATTAGGTCCTTTTGAAGTGGTTTTGTTTTCTTTGGCCTTAACTACTCTAAATTGCTATACATATTTCTCAGGTTATTACTTCTTCTGGATCACTGATTAGCCATTAAATGACCTGATTGCTCAGTAGCCAAAAAACCCCAATAATGCCTATTGGTTCCATTGAAGGTGACTTCTCCTTAATAATATGTGCTCATGTGCGTATTGTGCCTGTGTATATCTATACTTACATACATGTGTGTGCATTTATATGTAGTTTATATTTATAGATAAACCCTTTAATCTATAAGCTATAGTTCTTTGAATACGGTTTTTGGGGGGACTTCTGATAAATGATTAAAATGCTTTAGCAAGAAATGTTACCACTTTTTCTGTGGTAGAAGCCATATGAAAATCGCATGAAGTTGTTCTGTTGCACTAACTTCTTTTGAAGCATTTTCTGTTCTCCCTTGAACTATCTTTTCAAATGACCTGCCTACTGTTGAAATGTCTTCTATGCTTTTGATTCCTG